CCCCAAAACCCCAAAACCCCAAAACCCCAAAACCCCATGAAGAATATTAGGCACTGAAACTCTATAGTTTAAAACTTCCTTTTCTTTCCTTTGAATTTTGGAGCAGCTTTGGAGTGTGCTAAGTATTTATGAGCCTGTCTTTGATTGAGATAGCCAATATCTGCATCAATCTTGATTTGTGACTTGAGCTTAATCTCTTTCATAACACAGCCATACTTTTCACTAAAGACAAGGATGGATAGCTTCTCTGCGTTAGTTGAGCCATATTCGAATTTTCCTCTCATGTCTGTGTATCCATCTTTATAGAACTTGGTTTGACTGCTCCAGTCCTTCATGAAGGATTTGACATAGACCTTGGGGATTGGCTTTCCATTAAGGTCTACTACCTTGATCTCATCAAAGCTACAAGGGATAACCTTGAGTGAGCATGGGAAATAAGTCTTCAGACACTTCTTCTTTCCACAGTCAAGCTCAATCAGAATATTTTGTGTCTCATATTTTTTGTCAATTTTAAATGCAAAAATCTTTGATTTTGGAGGTAAAATCTTGATCTGTTGGAAGACAGGCTTGACATAGCTGAAAACTCCAAAGTTCTTCATCTCAAATGGCTCTCTAGTAAACAATATCTCTGGGTTAACTATACAGTAGTGAGTAAATGTTAATCAAACATTGCTTACCAATGTAATATTTGACGTTAACAGATTCTATGTTTTCATAATCAACTTGGATCTCCTTGTCTTCTATCTTGAAATCAAGCGTAATATTTTGCTCTTTCTTTTCCAAAGCTCCTGCATCACCTAAATCAGATAGTGAGATATTGTATGAATAACAAAAGGAAATTAGCTTTTTAGAGGAATACTGATGATTACTAGCTAAATTTAGTTGAGGATTTTAATTTTGGAGTCTATCAGGGGTTTTGGAAGGAATTCCTAGCTAACAAGATCTTCCATTCTGATGTTTAGTCTTGGAGAGATTTCATATTACACTGATAAGAAAAACAGAGAGATCATTTAAACTATATGATTCATCTAAGTAAAATATATTTGAATTTGTACCTAATTTGGTCTCTTCTTTGCCCATGGTGTCTTCAAGGTTTACTTGGTCAGCAAGTACCTCCTTGCCATCAAATTCATCAAGCTGGTCTAATATTTCTGTAAATCTCATTCTCCAGGTGATGACTGGATAGTCTGAATAATGTTTGCTTAGCTTTCTTGCTATTTTGAAGCCTGTATCATACCCAAGCAAGATATCGAAGTAAGCACTAAGATAGTCATATTGAATCACAAGCGATTGCTTCTCAGGATTTTTGAACTCGTTTGAGTCTACTTTCTGGAAAACCTTATGAGCTTCTTCAATCCTATCCTGAAGAAGAAGGTATGTTGAGAACACAAGATTATCTTCTGAATTTAGATGATCCTTCTCTACAAGGTTTACTAAGAACTTTTGATATTGCTCACAGAACTGTCTGTTGAACATAACAGCACTCTTTTCATTCTCTAATTTATGAGCTCTGGGGTTAATCATTGGGAAGAAGTCATAGTATCTATAATTAGACTTCTCAGGACTGCATTTAATAAGAGAGGATTCGAAGTAAACACCTGTAGCTTTCTGGGCATCCTGGTCGGTCTCAATGAGTTCTCTGACAGCTTGCAGATCAAAATGCTTAAACCCGTACTTCCAGAGGTCAAACCCATAGACTCTTCTTTCTCTGCATATACTAATAGCTTTCTCATAGAAGGCTTTATCACTGAGGAAATTTCTCAGATATTTCATGTGGAACATGAGTTCTCTCTGGAAGAGGTTGCCTTCTTTCAAGAACTTAAGGATTGCTTCCTTGTCACCTGAGAGAGCAAGGTCACTGAACCTTTCAAAGTTGCTGGAATCCTTCTTGTCTACAACAGTGAAGGAGTATTTCTTAGAAGTTGATATCACCTTCGACTGAGAAGAGATATTGGTTGGGAACTGACTGAAAGTTCCAACTGAAGGGAAATAGAACAAGAATTCACAAGTGTGAGTACTATATGGAGCTATCGAAATCGATGAAGAGGATTGGTAGTTGTGGTTCTTGAGTGGTACTGAATTTGCAGGAATTTGGTGCAGGTATTGGATTTCTTGTGTGGAAGAACTCACATTTGAGATAATTATTTCACATCCATATACCCTTTGAGTCATAAATTCTTCAATCTTAATCTCACTTGTCCTATTATCAACATCAAAGAATCTATGGATAACCATTAAATTCTCATCTTGATCATATTCAGTGGTCTGGAGTTCCTTCTTGTAGATAAGAAGGTTGGTTTCTGCTTTAATACAGATTCCTCTTTCTCCTTTTGGATCTATTTTATGCTCAGTGCTTTGCCAAGGGAGATCGATCAATGCAAGCAAAGCCATCAAATCTGTCAATGTGATGGATGAGTAGATAAAGTTTGGGGTAAGGAACTGCAAATCCCTCATGTTTGAAGGGTTGTTAGACAATATATGATCAATTAGAGAGGTATAAAACTCAGATCTTTTTGATAATTTCTTAAAATTAGTGTTCGAAATCTCTTTGAAATAGTGTGTTTCACAGTATTGTTTGCATGGTTCTGTCTCTTTAAATAAAGACTTTTGATTTTTCTCATAAATCCTAGTTGGTGCCTTTGCTAATACATTTCTATTTTGTCTCGGAATATTTAAAACATCATTGCTTTGCATTACATTATTTCTAAAATCAAAATCGTTCTCTATGCTGTTTACTTCACATTCTTGAATCTGTTCTTCAAAGATATCATTTGGTTCATCACTCAACATTGATCCAAGACTAGAATTTGATAATCTTCTTCTAAGTCCAGCTCTTCCTCTTTGTACTTGGATTGGCATATTGTATGAGCTAGCTCTGGAATACTCGCTATCATCTTCATCTACTTCGCATTCTCCACCACCGCCGCCTTCTCCTTCGTATTCGTAATCCTCGCCTTCTCAATCATAATCACTATCGGAGTCGTATCTTCTTTTAGCTTGCCAGTTCATTTCCTCTATTGAAGAATCACTAGAGCATGACATTGATCTCTGCCTCTTAATCTTCTTCTTTTTACCTTTCTTCTTGTCCAGTTTGGGGCCTCCTTCGTTATCGTCATCTTCGACTTCATCGCTTTCGATGATCTTCATTAGAAGGACTGTGTCGAATTTCTGGTTTTTCTTCGCAATTTTAGTCTCGATTAGCTTAGCTTTATTTACAAAGCTACTAGCCAGATGCTTAGCAGTATCCTTATCAGTACGATTTATTACAGCTATGAGAAGGCATTGTTCAAGTGCATTCAGGTTATCATAAGCAGAGACATATTTGTGCCTTGTGACATTCTCATAGTCTTCTAATAAGAAATAATCTATCAAAGACTTCTCTATTTTAGCAGCAATGCTTGGCTTGACTACTTCTTCAAAGTATTCCTTATCTTTGAAATAAAGGAAGAAATTTAGTTCATTACACATGTTCATGCTATACTTTTTGTTCTTTAGTTCATCGTCAAGATTATTCCAGTTGTATAGCCATGAAGTAGTTGTGAAGGGTTGGTTCTCTTCATGCTTGAGTCTCAATAATTCTTGAAGAACCTTTCCTACCTTCTGTACGGAGTCAATAGTTTGATAATCTACGCTAGTAATATCGTCGATTATATGTTCTTCACCTGGTTTGAGAGAGCAAGCATTTCTAGTCTCTTGGTAATGTTTCTCTGAGTCTAGAGGTTTGTCTAATTCAACCTTTCTCTTCTTTAGTGGAGGAATTTCTTTATCCTTTCTGGGTATATCAACACATTTATGGGTTGCTCCATCTTCTCCAACAGCAAGAATGATCATATTAGTATACAAGCTGGTGTTTATATTAAAAGAGTATTCACCATCTCTGTTCTTAACATTTGGGACTATGAAAGGAGGTGTATCCAAGAAGTTCAGATATCCGTCATATTCTGTATCGGTATAAGAGTTCAGATGAGTATCGGGGTAGACATTTCCTGAAGTTACATTTCCACCGCCATATTTTCTACTTTTACTCGCAAGCTTATAATTATCAAAAATGGCTACACTCTTCTTATACACTGCTTTCTTCTGATATCCGAAGCCAGTCTGCTGTTGAGGTGTATCAAAATAAGTATCTTTGAAGAATTTGCTCTTGAATAGAAGGCTTGGACGCTCAAGAGTAGTTCCAATGAAGCTTTTGAGGTATTTTCTCTCTAATGCATATCTTAGTTCTTCATTAAGCCTCTTATTGGAAAGATATTCATTCTCAGATGTTTTTACTTGAGTTGTCTCAAGATACTCCCTAGGGAGGCCAGTGTAGTCATTGATGGTTTGCCATATATCAGCTGGGAATGTGTTAAAAGCAAAGCAATGAACTTTTAGATTTTTCTGAGACCCATCAATCTTAAAAGAAACTTTAGAACACTCTTCTTTCCCCTCTTCTTCAATTTCTAAGTGAGTGATTCTTTTGGTAGGATTGTTATCTGGAATTTTCAGTAGCTTATTCTTTGTGAGAATGTAGTCGTCTGTCTCCCAGTAAACTCCTTTATGAACTGATAACTGGATTTCTTTCTCAAGTTTCTTAAAACCAACTACATATTTTCCTATACAATAGTGTTGCATGTCTTACCTGGCTCAAGCCCTTTGATTAAGATATCTCCAAAATCGTGCCCTTCTTTTCTTTGGTATTCTATCGAATCGAAGCAGTTTTTGATGGCCGAGCCATTCTGTCTATCTACTTTTGCGACCACTATGCATCCACTGTTGAACATGTCATGAGGGTAAGGAAGCAAAATATCTTCTCCTTCTAGGTAATCAAGAGTATCTGGGTAGTAGAACTTCTCATCAAGATAAGGTAAATTCCAATCCCTTTGGAAAGATACATTATTTTTGTTTCCAGTGATTCTGATGTTGACAACTTCTTTGAGGTTTCCTAGTTTGATACAGCCATCTTTGTCAGTGACAAACTCATCGTAATATATCTTATTATCAGTAACCATTGTTTTTATTTGGATGAGCTCTATCTCAGCATTTGGAACTGGTTCTCCAGCTTTACCAAGAAGGTAGAAGTAGTATTCTCCCTTATATTTTCTCAAATGAGATTTAAAGACTTGATGGCTGTATTGGCCAGCATTAATACTTCTTGTGCAAGAGTAGGTCTTCTTTTCTCAAACACCTTTAGCTAGGTTTCTCACTTCTGCATCTACATTGATTTCAATACTTCCTAGATTTGGAGGAACCTGGAAATTCACTACAATGTCTTTCTCTTGGCTTAACTGTAGATCGTCAAATACTTTAGTCATGGGCAGATCATCTACATAGGATTTCATTGTGACTCTGACCTCGATCTTGTTCAGACAATCAAGATTGATCTTCTTATAATTACATCTTAGCTGAGGCGTTATGATGAGAGATGCATTTTTACCCATCAATAAGCTTTCATGGTTAAGAGTAAAAATTCATTTGAAGTCATAGTTCTCAGTGCTTCTACAGAAATCCTCGATATCTGAAATTCCTTTGCTAAGTAATACAGCCTTTGAGTACTCATTTGAATCTTTGCAATATGGGATAAGGATTTTCCCATCATCATCAGCTTTGTAGAAATTATCTGAGAACCAAATGGCAGTGGATGCTTCTTTACAAATCTCTCTGTTTTCATCTAAGATATAACATTCATGGCCCTCTCTGATATCCTTCCTGATTAGAGTGAGGTTTCCTTTCTTAATCACTGCTCTGGAGCTGATACCATTACTGATGAAGTCGATGACATAGATGCCTGGCTTCTTCTTAATTTCAGGGATATCAAATCTGTGTCTATACTTTTTCTGAGGAGTTTCTTTAAACTCCTCGATTCTCTGAAAGGCTGGCTCTAATCCATCCAGATCAATCTGTGAGTTGAACTCACTCAGATTGCTCTTGTAGTAATTCTCAGCATTGAACTCATAAATCTTGATGTACACAGTTGGAGTATTCTTCAAGTCGCATAGAATTTGAACCTTATCATCAACTTTATGATGCTGGAGATTAGAATCGAGGATATTTATCATCACCTTAGTTCCAAGTTCTTCTAAGTTAGGAATATCCTGGTGGTTAACCTCTTCGCCATTCAAGAACTTTATTTCTGAGAGCATCTCCTTGTAATCATTCTTATTGAAGAACTTCTCCCATTGGCTGATATCTACATCTGCTCTGTAGAAAGAATCTAGATAATAAAAGAGGAGATTTCTATGGAAGTCATGCTGAACTGATGAAATATCATTTCTCCCTGAAATGTTTTGGTAGAACCTACACCAGTTGTTGTCATAACCAAGAACAAGGGTGTTCTTATCCGAGTACATGCATGCATTACTGGCTGGATTTTCCAAGTATGCTGAGAAGTACTCTTTGTAGCAAAGATCCATTTTTCTTCCATAAACTAAAATCTCTAAAAGGATATGAGATTTGAAGGTCTTTGGCATATCTGAAGCGCTCTTGTACATTTCTTTGAGTTGCTCAAGCCTTTCTTCATTAGTAAACTCGTCAATGTTCTCCTGATCAAGCTCGTAGTGAAACTTCTTCTGGAAAACACTACCTTGCCAATTATCGTCATCTTTTAAAACTGGTAGAAGTTCAGCAAGTTTTAGTATTTGGTCAAGAGTGAATCTAGATTGCAATTAATAAATAAAAGATTTTTACTTACCTTTTGTAGAACTCTCCTGTATCTCCGCAATGTTTCTCAAGGACTGTTGCAGCAGAGCCTGCTTTACTACTCTTAATGAGTGAGTCAAATAATTCAGCAGTTTTAACAAGGAATGATTCAACAGTTATATCTCAAATATATTTGTATCCAACTAAAAACTTCTCAAAGTAAGAGTTCGACAAGAGCTTATAGTCTATCCTGTTGACTAAGCTGTAATGTATACTTGAAATAGAAGCCTTCTCATCTTGAATCTTCTTTAAGAACTCCTTGTAATGATCTTCGTAAGAATAAGCCAGCATACTTCTTTTAGAAAATTCTTCATTCTCTGATTTTTCACCTTCTTCAGTTCCTTCATGGATCTTTCTTTTATTCTTAAGACCAAGGTTAAGATACTTCGAACCAGAGAGCTTCTCTAGAAGCTTCTTCTGTTTAGCTTTATCATCTGTGCAGTTATCAAACTCAATGAATAAACTTTGGAAATCAATTCTCTTCATCTCTTGCCCTCCTTTCTTCTTAAATTTCTTAATCATCTCCTTAATTTCCTGAGGGATTTCTCCTTTCTTCCCTTTAAGCTTCTTTAGACTATCTATGATCTTAAGATAATCATGGTATTTCGATCCAGGGATCATCTTCAGCAGTACATCTTCAATACTTTCTTCACTAAGCATATACTGTTCATAAGCTGTTCGAGCAGCTTCGTTGAACTTATCCATATTTTATTTAATAATTTAACTTTTGAGGGGCAGCTTTATATGTGGATTTAGCCGAATTCCTAACTAAGCTTGGAATGGTGAGGACTGTTTCTTGCAAAGATTAGGGAAGAGGAAGGAGAAAAGAGGACTGAAGAAGGCAAATTTGGAGTGGTTTGAAGGGTTTGAGGAATTTTAGGAGTTTTAGAAGTTTTAGAGGAAGGCAGGGTGTCAGAAAGTGGACAATATTAATTAGGATTGTGTTCAGTCGTTTGGACAAGGGAAGGGGTTTTGGGGTTTTGGGGTTTTGGGGTTTTGGGG